GGGCCCAGGGCTTGGAGGCTGCTTTTCACTTGGGTATGGCTCTGTATGAAGGCTAGGACCCAAGTAGGCAGGGCCAAGGCTGGGTGTTGCTTTTCTCTTGGGAGTGGCTCTTTCATGTGGATGGGGCCCAAAATAGGTAGGCCTGGGGCTTGTAGGCTACTTTTCGCTTGGGGGCACCTGTATTTTAAGGTCAGGGCCCTAGATAGATGGGTTAGGGCCTGGACTGCTTTTCGATTGGTGTTAGCTCTATTTTAAGGCTGATGCCTAATGTTGGCAGGTGCAGAGAGGTTAGAAACAACTGAGGGAGATGAACTTATCTATCAGTTTGTCATCCTGCAGTGGCTTACATGTTGCTGTAAGGCTGGAATCTATGACATTGCTGCTGCAAAATGCCAGCAGGGTTACTCATGGTAGACAGGTTTCAGTGGAGCTTCCAGCTAAGACAGACTCAGAAGAAGGAAGAGGCCTTCAACTTCTTAAAGAACTGGATATGAAAACCTTGAGAGTAGCAGTGAAACACCATCTGATAAATTACTGGAAAACTTTGAAAAGCCCTGAAACTTTGTCCAATATAGTGCTGGAAGATGAGCCCATCAGATCAGAAGGCATTCAAAATTTGACTGGGAAAGAGCTGACTCCTCAAAGTAGAGACAACCTTATCAATATGGACGGAGTAAAGTGTTCTGGATCTTCACTGGCTAATGTGACATGACTCAAAATGAGTCAAACATCCATTAATAATTGGAACATGGAATGTACAAAATATGAATTGAGGAAAAATGGAAGTCATCAAAAATGAAATAGAACACATAAAGATTGATATTCTAGGCATTGTTGTTGTTGTTATGTGCCCTCGAGTTGGCCCTGACTCATAGTGACCCCTCCTTGGGTTTCCAAGGCAGTATCACTACAGAAGTAGGATTGCCCAACCTTCCTTCCGAGGAGTGGCTGGTGGGTTTGAACTGCCAACCTTCTGGTTAGCAGTCAAGTACCTTAGACACTATGCTACCAGAGCTCCTATTCTAGGCATTAGTGAGCTGAAATGGACTGGTTTTGGCCACTGTGAATCAGATAACCATATGACCTACTATGCTGGGAATGACAAAATGAAGAAGAATCATGTGGGATTCGTCATCACAAAGAGTGTTTCGAGATTTGTCCTAAAGTACAACGCTGTCAGTGATAGGATGATATCCATTTGCCTTCAAGGAAGACCAGTTAATACTACTTTTATTCAAATTACACACCAACCACTGAAGCCAAATATGAAGAAATTGGAGATTTCTACCAAATTCTGCAGTCTGAAATTGACCGAACATGCAATCAGGATGTGTTGATTATCACCGGCGACTGGAATGCAAAACTTGGAAACAAAGAAGAGTTACCAGTAGTTGGGAAATCTGTCCTTGGTGACAGAAACAAAGCTGGAGATCTCATGATATAATTTTGCAAGACCAATGACTTATTCATTGCAAATACCTTTTCTCAACAACACAAATTGCAACTATAGACATGGACTTCACCAGATGGAGTACACAGGAATAAAATCGACTACATCTGTGGCAAGAAGCAATGGAGAAGTTCAATATCTTCGGCCAAAACAAGGCCAGGAGCTGATTGTGGAACAGACCATCAACTCATATGCACATTCAAGTAGAAGTTGAAGACAATTAAAACAAATCCAAGAGGCCCAAAATATGACCCTCCTGAATTGAGAGACCATTTAAACAATATATTTGATGCACAGAACACCAATGACTGAAAACCAGAGGAATTGTGGGATGACATCAAGAACATCATCCATGAAGAAATCAAGAGGTCATTCAAAAGATGAGAAAGGAAGAAAAGACCAAAATGGATGTCAGAAGAGACTCTGAAACTTGCCATTAAGTGGAGAGTAGCTAAAGCAAATCGAAGAAATAACAAGATAAAAGAGCTGAACAGAAGATTTCAAACAGCAGCTCGAGCAGACAAAACCAATTACTACAATGGAATGTGCAAGAACTTGAAGCTAGAAAACCAAAAAGGAAGAACATGTTCAGCATTTCTCAAGGTTAAAGAACTGAGGAAAAAAATTAAGCCTCAAGTTGCTATATTGAAGAATTCTATGGGCAAAATATTGAATAATTCATGAAACATCAAAAGAAGATGGAAGAAATACACAGAGTCACTGTACCAAAAAGAATTGGTCAATGTTCATCCATTTCAGGAGGTGGCATATGATCAAGGACCAATGGTACTGGTACTGAAGGAAGAAGTCAAAACTGCACTAAAGCAATTGACAAAGAATAAGGCTCCAGGAAATGAAGGAATACTCATTGAGATGTTTCAACAGACAAATGCCCTGCTGGAGGTACTTACTCGGTTGTGCCAAGAGATTTGGAAGACAGCGACCTGGTCAACTGGAAGAGATCCATATTTGTGCCCATTCCAAAGAAAGGTGATCCCACAGAATGTGGAACTAATCGAACACAATCATTAATATCACATGCAAGTAAAATCTTACTGAAGATAATTCAAAAATGGTTGCAGCAGTTTATTGACAGAGAGCTTCCAGAAACGCAAGCTGGATTCAGAAGAGGACAAGGAATGAGGGATGTCATGCTGATGTCAGATAGATCGTGGCTGAAAGCAAAGAATACAAGAAAGATGTTTGCTTGTGTTTTATTGACTATGCAAAGGAATTCAATTGTGTGAATCACATATTATGGATAACATTGAGAAGAATGGGAATTCCAGAACACTTGATTGTACTCATGAGGAACGTGTACATAGATCAGGGGGCTGTCATTCAAACAGAAGAAGGGGACACCGCATGGTTTAAAATAAAGACAGGAGTGCATCAGGGTTGTATCCTTTAACCATACTTATTCAATCTGTATGCTGAACAAATAATCAAAGAAGCTAGATTACATGAAGAAGAATGTGGCATCAGGACTGGAGGAAGACTCATTAACAACCTGTGATACACAGTTGACACAACTTTGCTTGCTGAAAGTGAGGATGATTTGAAGCACTTACTGACAGACATTAAAGACTACAGTCTGCAGTATGGATTATATCTTAATATAAAGAAAACAAAATTCCTCACAAATGGACCTATAAGCAGCATTGTGATAAATGGAGAATAGATTGAGGTTGTCAAAGATGTCACATTGCTTGGTTCTACAATTGATGCTAATGGAGGCAACAGTCAAGACATCAGACGACATATAGCACTGAGCATGTTGGCTGCAAAGGACCTCTTTAGAGTGCTGAAGAGCAAAGATGTCTCCTTGAGGACTAAGGTGTGCCTGATACAAGCCATGATATTTTCAATCACCACTTATGCATGTGAGAGCTGGAATGAATAAGGAATACTGAAGAAGAGTAGATGCTTTTGAGTTGTGGTGTTGGAGAAGAATGCTAAGAGCACCATGGTCTGCTAAAAGGACTAGTCTACAAATCTGTTCTGGAAGAAGTGCAACAAGAATGCTCTTTGGAAGCAAAAATGGCCACCCTTTGTCTCACCTACTTTGGTCATTTTGTCAGAGGGAACCATGTCCTGGAGAAGGATATCATGCTTGGTAAAATGGAGGGTTAATGAAGAAGGAGAATGCCCTCAAGGAGATATAGACACAGTGGCTACAATGATGAGCTCAGGTATAAGAGGAATCATGAGGCTTGCACAAGACCAGGCAGTGTTTTGTTCTGCTGTGCATCAGGTCATAATGAATTGTAGATGACTCGACAGCACCTAACAACAACATCTTCTTTTGATGCTTTCTGCATTGTTCAATATTTTGCCCATAAAATTCATCAATATTACAACCTAAGGCTTGGATGTTTTCTTCCACTTCCTTCACTTTGATGAAGATCAAGACTACATTCTTTAGTACGGATTATACCTCAACAAAAAGAAAATAAAAATCCCCAGAACTGGACCAATAAGCAACAGTATGATAAATGAAGGAAAGATTGATGTTCTAAAGGATTTCATCTTACTTGGATTCAACAGCCATGGAAGCAGCAGTGAAAAAAATCAAATAATGCAAATAATGTATTATATTGGACAAATCTGCTGCAAAGCACCTTTTTAAAGTGTTTAAGTGCAAAGATAACAGTTTGAAGACTTAGGTGTGCCTGACCCAAGCCTCAGTATTTCCAATAATCTCATATGGATAACAGCTGGACAATGAATAAGGAAGACTGCCGAAGAACTGGTGCATTTGAATTGTGGTATATGCAAATAATATCGAATGTATCATGGACTCCAAGGAGAATAACCAAATATGCCTTGGAGGAAGTACAGCTGTAATGTAACTTGGAAGCAAGAATGGCTGGACTTCATCTCTTGTACTTGCTTATGTTGTCAGAAGGGACCAGTTCCTGGCAAAGGATATCAGGTTAGGTAAAGTAGAGGGTCAGCAAAAAAAGGGAAGACCCTCAATGAGATGGAGTGATTGGCTGTGATGATGGGCTTAAGTATGATAACTGTGAGGATGGCGCAAGACCAGTCAATGTTTCATTCTATCATACACAGGGTCACTATGGGTCAAAACTGACTTGACAGCACCTAACAACATTACCTCTCAAATCAAGTGTTGCTTGAATTTAACCTGGCTGAATTTATTTCTAATATGTCCACTGTCAGCTTTCTATGTCCTTTTTACTGATTCATTTTAAATTAATTTCAATTAAATAAACATATGTAAATGTTAGACGTACACTTTAAGTTGTGTTATAAAATCAACCAAATGTACTTCTACCTGTTAGAAAGGAGAGGTTTTAGAAGGAATGAGGTGTTACTTGTGCTCTTATAGAATGGAGAATATATTACCTCTTAAAATAATATGTGATTGTAACTTTGACAATTGTGAAATTATCTCTGACTTTTTTTCTTGTACGTACAACAACAAACAAAACACACAGTGGTAAAAATATGCTATAAATGTATAACAAAGATACAATGTATAGATTATAAATGTGCTTCTGAATGCAAACGATTTTTAGAAACTTACCAGTCATGCAGTTTTTAAATTCAATATCATCAATTGCAGCTCCTCCTCCCAAATCCCTCGTTCTGATTCCTTGAAATATGATTTCAAACTTCCTTAACTTTCCTAGAAGTATTACAGCCTTCTGCCAATGATCTGTGGAGTTGTGCTCAATTTCTTGCCATACTTTTGATATTCCTTTCTCTGTCTGAAAATGAAAGTTTGCATTAGGGAAATAACCATGAAAAACAAAATCAAACAACAGCAACCAAAAAAAAAAAAAAAACACCAGAACATTTCGAACAGATGACTAGTGAAAACTAAAAAAGAAAACATTTACATCTGATAATATTCATGATCCAGTTTACCCTACCAAGACAAGGGTGTTTCCAAAAATCAGTAGTAGCAAACAAAAATAAACTTGGTCTTTTCAGGGACATCATTATTAGAAAGTGCCTTACTAAGTTAAATCCTGTCCTTCGATATATGCAAAATTCTTGATATTTGAGGGAATCTAAATAGTTACAGAAGCCCTGGGTTTATAGCTTTGGCTATTTT